AACCCGGCTGTGTATAGTTTTTATGGTCGAAAAATTGCAAGCAAAAAAAACCATGCTAATTCGATCCACTGATTCTGTTTTTTTTTTTTTTTGGCAAAAAAAAAAGAGTGGTATCATAATAAACCCGACTGTGTATAGTATTTATGGTCGAAAAATTGCTAGTAAAAAAAAAACCATGCTTCATATATCATTGGTTCCCTAGATTAAACCATTCTCTCTCTCTAGAAAACAGCTCTCATAATACATCCTTAGCTCTCTTCAAGGATAATGTCCTCTATAACAGAAAACAATCCCCCTCCTACAGACCATGTTCTTTTAGATAATGTGTATGAAAAAACTTATAATCAATGCACTCATATCATAAAAGTGGTAACCAATTTGGTGGTATTTACCGAGGGCGGGGGTTGATTGGTAAAAGCTCTTTCATTCATGTATTTCCCGCATAGATATTTCCTTAAGGCTGCATTTGAAAACAATGCAAATGGAGTGTAAATCCCGGTTCAGGGTAAATTTGCACTTTGGTTCACTTTTGCCTATGTTTGGCAATATTACATTTATGTATTGACAAATGATAGAAAACACATTTTCCAATGCATATTTACATTGATAATAAGATGTAAAAGCACACCAATAAAATAGAAGTAAATTTCCATTCAAGTGGGCTTTTGATAAAAAAAAGCATATGTTTTATTAGAATTCATGTTTGCATCCATTACAACTAAAAGTCTGTTTGGTAAGAAGGTAAATTTGTTAGTGCAAAACCAACCAACTTTGCAATTTATATGGACCGTTTTACACTCTACATATTTGCATTCACACTTATTTGCATCGTTTCCAAACGCAGCCTAAATTTCTATACTTGTAGATATTAATAAGAATTGTATTGATTTCCTAGTAATTAAAACATATCTTCATATTTTTAGTTCCTTTATCATTTCTTGAGCTGTGTTTGGGAAGAATGTAAATGCTGGTTCAGTGCATATATGTATTGTGGTTCAGTTTTGCAAGTGTTTGGTAAGAGTTCACTTGTGTATTGATAATAATAGTTACATGGATTCATAGACATGTTTGCATTCAAATGAGAGCAAAAATTTGCATCCTCGTGTACTTAGGGGTGTCAGCGGTATTTGAAAATCTGATTTCGAATTCAAGATTCGACATAATCGAGTCGACTTTGGATAATTTGAATATCTAATCGGTCGAATTCAGATATCCTATTCATATTGGATTCAAATTCGGAAAATGACCTTATTCGATTCGATAAATATCTGAATTAGACCAATTATTTAATTCTTATATATAATATATAAAATATTTAAATGGTTTATATAATTTATATATAATAATTAAATTATATAAATAAAATATTTATTTTTATATATTTATTAATTACCTAAAATAATTAATTGGTCAAATTCAAATCGAAATATTAATTTTCAATATCCGTTGGTCAAATTTGAATATTAATTGTTCCATTAATAGTTCACACTTCATATAAGTCATCAAAGCATGTGTTTTTTATGTTTGTAAACCTTATTCATATTTAGTGTTATTGATATTGTTTTTGGATTTTATCCATGTTTATTTTTTGAAAAAAAGAACACAGCTACCTACAACCAATTTAAAACCATGGTATCATTCTAAACTCTCATGTTTATTATAATTATCAAGTATGGCATTTTTCCCACAAATGTCGATATGCCCTTTAATCCACATCAGGATCATTATCCTTTGTTGAACAATAGAATTGCACCTTTTGGAGTGTGTAATACAACAGTCTATACTCATACACTTGAAGATGCCCTTCAATCCACATCAGGATCATTATCCTTTGTTGAACAATAGAATTGCACCTTTTGGAGTGTGTAATACAACAGTCTATACTCATACACTTAAAGATGCATTGCTACTGGGATTTAGCAATAAATCCTATTAATAGGTAATAGAAGTTAGAGTGTTTTCAATTCACCCACACAATAAAACACACTTATAAAACAAATGTTGCATATTGATTGATTGTGTGTTTACTCGATGTATTCACTAACATTGTGTTCATTACCTTTGTTGTTTCTACATGAAACATTTTGGATTGATCAATATAAATTGGCATACAGTTGTTATTCAAGGCCATTTATGGTGAAATGTGCATACCTTAGAAAATGCATGTGTGAGGGTTGTTTGCAAAAACATCAAATTGAAGTAACTCTTATATGTGATGTGATGATACATATCATTCACCAATTCAACTCTACAAAATTATAGTTCCTTTAAAAAAATGGGTAAATCTCTGAAACATTCCCTGAACTTTTTGACATAGTTGTAAGTAGACCCCCTTTGTTAGAATTCTCTAAAAAGAGGTATGAAAATGTCCAAAATACCCATAACCTTTGAATTGTTAGCCCAACCCCTTCCAATCTTTTTTTTTCTTTCTGAATGTGATTTATTTGCTAAGTTTGCCCTTCATATCAATATTTCAAAGGTAAAGCTACTACTTTAAATTCTCTTTTTTTGTTGCTTGTAAAGTTTGCATTGTTTTTTTTTTTTTTTGTAGAAATTGGCCCCAATAGTAATTGCATGGGTATTTTGGACATTTTTGTGCCACTTGTTAGATGATTCTAACAAAGGGGGTCTACTTATAGTTGTGTCATAAAGCTCAGGGTATGTAATTGCAATCACCAAACTTCAAAGGAGGTTTAAAAAAATGGTCAAAAATTTTAGGAAAGGTTTTAGTAATTTACCCTTAAAGAATCAATGGTAGTTTTCTCTAAAAGGTAACTTTTATCTATGACATTTATGAAACTAAGAATATTGATTTGCCTTTTCAACATTTCCCTTAATCTCACCACAACTTTTCAAAATGTCTAAAACTCACCATGTCAGTAAGTTTTTATTTTCCAAAATCCACCTTCTGTTAGTGCACCGTTAATGCTTCTTAACAGAGGTGCCCATGTTAGCATAAATAATAGTTTTCATGACCAAATTACCCTTGAATGGTGAGTTAGAGGAAAAATGATCTTTTCAGTTTTCAATTTTCTTGTTTTTTGCATTTTTAGTGTTTTGTTATAATTTCCAATGTTTTTAATAATTTCAATTTTTTTTTTACATTTTCTATTTTCTACAATCTATAGATTTTTCTGTATTTTTTGTTAATTATTTATAATTTCTGTTTTTTTCTATATTTTTTGTGTTTTTTCTACAATTTTTATTTTTTTATTTTGTTTTTAAATTTCTATAGCTTCTATAATTTGAAAATAATTTTTATTTTATTTGCAATTTCTATAACTTATTATATTTTTTGCAATTTCTATGTTTTTATGTATTTTATATTTGAAAATATTTTTCGAACTTTTCCTTTTTTATGTCTAAATATTAAAATGGTAATATATTAACACCCGTTAATTTATTTTGTACATATTTTATATTTTTCTATGAATGTTAAAATGGTAATATATTAACACTCGTTAGTCTGTTTAACGTCAAGTTAGTGACATGGTGAGTTTTAGACATTTTTAAAAGTTGTGATGAGTTTAAGAGAAATACTGAAAACTCATGGTGAGTTTTAGACAATTTCCCTATAAAGTATGGAAATTTTTATGAACAAGCAGGTGTGTGGCCTATATTGTCCATCATGACTAGGATTATTTCCTCTTTGTTTTTGGGTAGCTTGCTAAGGCCTCCCCTAAAGTTTATGGTTGTTGCTGAACTTCCCTTGAAGTTTGGTAATTGCAATAACCTCACTAAACTTTATGAAATAAATGCAAATAGACCCCTTTTGGTAGAATTTTCTAAAGAAGGCGTGAAATTGTCCAAAATACCCATGCAATTACTTTTAGCAAAAACCTTTGTTTTCCAAATTTTCTCTTCATATGAATCACTACACCTAACTCTTCCAATCTCTTTTCTAAAATTGATTTATTTTCCAAATTTTCCCTTCACATCAATCACTCAAAGGTAAAGCTAAAACTTTAAGGGTCTTTGTAGTTAGAATCGGAATCGATATCATCCGAAATTGGAATCGGAATGGTCCATTTTCATAGTCTGTTTGGTTTAGACAGGAATGAGAATGAAAATTAAAATCAACAGGAATGAGATTTCATTCCCAAGGGAGGGGCAGGGAATGGCCATTCCCTCAAATGGGGGAATGCCATTCCAGTAGGAATGGGAACGAGATTCTAATTCCACCCAACCAAACAGTTGGAATCGGAATAACCCATTCTGATTCCGATTTTAGACCCTATTCCCGCAAACCAAATGGGTTTTGAATTCTCTTTGTTTTTATTGTTTATAAAGTCTGTATTGTTTTTTCTCCATAAAAAACAACCTTAATAATAATTGCATAGATATTTTAGACATTTTCATGCATTTTTCTTTTTCTAGATGATTCTTTGAAAGGTAATCTAGTTGCAAATGTATTAGAAAATTAAAAGAGATGATTACAATTACTAAAATTCAAATTCAAGGATTCAGCAATTACCTTCTTTTAAACGAGCAAAGGTTTTTTCTAGTTAAATTACAAATTGCCATGCTTTGGCCAAACTTCCATTTGTCGCAAAAATCCAACAGTTAGATTCCAACACTTTGCTAGTCTCATCATTGTACTTAATGGTAACAATAAAATTAATAAAATGCTTATTCAGAGCTTGATGGCTACAAGAAGAAAACATAAAGTTAAAATAGACATGTTAAAACACAATATCTCTTGCTGTATTTTCTTTTTGCAATTTTTAGTTTTATATTTTTATGTTTTTTCTATATTTTCCTCTTTTTATTTGTTTATTTTTCTAAAAAATATATATTTCTTGCAATTTCCCAACCTGCCCTTTATTTTCTGTTTTTTTGTATATTATCAATTTTCTACAAAATTATCTCATACTTGTATCGGAATCTTTTCTTAAGTCTACGAAATATAGGAATCGGACGCCGAGGGGCTAAAACCGTGAAATCACGGCCTTCGATGCATTGCTGTAGCCCAGCGCTGCTCCAGCTGGAGTAGCTGATTTTTGAACTTATCTGAAGGACTGAAGAGTATTGTATCTCCGCCACCCTTCTCTGCCAATAATTCATACGCTCTTCTTCACCACTATATCGGGAGGTCGGAAGAGAGAAGAGTCAGGAACAAAGAAAAGAAAACAACAGAATTTGATTAGTTATCTACTAATAATCTAGTCTCTCTGTCAAAGCATCTAAAAGCCTTAATCACCTTTCTCTCTCTTCTACTAGATTCGTTCCATTTTCAGCCTCAGTCCTCAGACCTCAGGTGCTCTTCTCTCTCTATGGTATAATCAATTTTTATAATGTTGTTTGTTTTGGTGGAGATTTTATTCTCGCTCTCTCTCTCTCTCGATCTTGGTTTATTGTTTTTAGGGTTCCGTTTTTTATTTGAAATTCGGCGTTATTCTTTTCCTGCATAAATTGCCAGGTTTTCTTACCATCTCTCTTTCCCTGCTTTCTTGTTAGATTGTCCGAATGCTTTTCTGGACATTTATTTTGGATCTGGACCTGGAGCCTTGGAAGTCTTTCTGTTTTTTCGTTTGTCTGATAGATTGCTCGTATTTTCTCACTATCCTTCCCGGCTTTGGAGCAGTGAATTTGAGCTATTTTGCTTTTCGAGTTCTTTTTTCCCCCTTCCCTCCTGCGATTAGTGTGTCTTTATGCCTGTATGAGGATTTAAATGGGAGAAATTCTGCATATTAGTCTTTTGTAAAATTTGTTATTTCGTGCAAGTTTGGATTCAAGGATGTACCATTGGAGATTATCTCAGGATCTGTCTGATTTGTTTGGATTTTGATCGAATTGGCATTCCTGATTATCAGACATGTTTTGTCGCTAATCAGATGAAATTTAGGAATGGACTTCTATTGGTCTACGATTTCCTTTGGAGTTTTTGAGGTTTGCTACGGGAATATTTTGGATTCGAGGAAACATTTTGTTGAAAAAAAGACTCGAACTATTAACGCTTATCTTTTAAGTAATAGTAGTAAATTTGTTGGTGAAGGCAGTGCAAACTGCAAAGTTTTGAAATAGAAAATGAAGCTGGAAATCATATATACAGATCTCTCTCTCTCTCCCCCCCCCCCTCTCTCGTTTTTTTTTTTTGAACATTTTGAGCATTTCCGAGTTTCTTCGTTTTTTCAAGGAAGCTCTGCTCTCTTTTCATTCTTCTTTCTCTTTTTTAAGGGCTACGCTTTTTATTGAATGATGCGAAGCTATGGTATATTTGTATAGTTTTTGCCCTTAATATTATTTTATTCATTTCTGGTGCAATTTTATGAGTAAAAACGAGAATTAAAGCTTTTTATACTGTTAACTGTATCCGTAAAATGTATTTATTTGGTATCCTTTTTTTGATAGGTGCATTTTTTTGGCATCTTGAGTAGTGTGAGCCTGTTTATTTGCTATTGAGCAGGTTATTTGCAGGATTCCTACTGTTTTTGTTTCATTTTCTTTTCAGCTAAGTAGTTAAGTTTTGAATATAAAGAAAAAGCTAGGTATTTCTAATCTAAATTACTACAGGCTATTCTTCAGGCTCTGTACTTTCTTCTCCTTGTTTTTGGAGTTTGTTGGTCTGTGTTCTGTAAGATCATATTTGGGTATTTCACTGACAACAAAGTTATCAAACTTCAACTAGAATGGAAATGGATATAGAATTGGACACTCTTCATTTCTTCTGGACTTTTAGTTAAAACTCCGTGTTGTTTTTATCTGGTGACAAATTTTGGCTTGAGTGCTTGGTGAAATTCCTATTTCCTAACTCAGGTTTTATTCACATGCAGGGACTTCACAGAAATTCACAGGTGAAGGTTGTACCTGATGGCAAGGATCAAACCTCAAGCGCTGCTGCTCCAGAGCAAAAAGAAGAAGGGTCCAACTCGAATCAGTGCCACTACAATTATCACTTGCAATCTAATTATTGTCTTGATTGTTTTGTGCTTAGTTGCTACATACAGGCATTGGTCTCAGAGGTTGTGATGTTTTCTTTTCTTTTCTATTGTTCTTTTTTCCTGTTCTGAAATGTATCAATTAACAATGTCTGATGGAATTTACAGTGGAAGATCTTAGTTGATAATTTTATTGGTTATTATTATCATAATTACATTCTGTAACTGAAGTAATTCATAACCACTTTATAGGTCAAGATACCAACTAGAGAATGACTTGCCAAATCTTGTGGTACATTTACTTCTTTCTTCTTCTTTATTTTTGCATTGTGTTCCTGTCTTTTTCTTTCACATGTTGGTATCTCCTTGATGTGCTGTTTTTATTGTGTCTTTTAATGATCAGGTTGGTTCCCGTTTTTGTTGTATGTGGTTAAGTCATTAAGTTGATGTTTTTTCCTTTAAGTGAAACCTTATACATTCTGATTTTATTTGTTTTGTTCTATAGGATGCTGATGCAGTTGGAGATCTGAATAAGTTTGATCTTCCTAGTTATGCTGTAAGTTTTTTCTAGTATTGTTTGGCAATAACATGTTTCTGCCCTGGTTTTCTGAACCTGAATATGACTAGATGTAACAATCCTTTATTATTTTGAAAAATTTGTACACTATATCATAGCTATCCACCATAAAGGTGTAGCGAATGAGTGAATTATCCAACAACAGTATGGTGCCTAAGTTGGAGAGTATGGGGAATCTAGAGAGAAGTTGGAGAGTCGAGACCTTGATTGAAATGAAGAAATTGGTCTTCGAAGAAGGAAAGAGCAAAAACCTTTCAGTGCTGAAATTAAGAGAAAAAGGAAGGGCAACTATCTTCCTAACAGGAGAAGCTACACGGTGAAGAAAAATGGTTGGATGGGTTCTTTGGAAGTTTCAAGAAGAGGGTATCAGGTGGCTTTGAAATACAACCAGAAAGGTTGGTTTGTGGCTGTAACAGAGGTTTTTTGGAGATAATAGAAAACAAATGGTTTGTTTTCTGGAGGGAAAGCAGGGGAGGGGTTGGAGGTTGGTCTCTCAGATGTTGCAAGAATATCTGATGATGAAGGTTGGTATGTTAACCAGAGAAGTCTACCAAAGCAGCAAAAATATAGTGGCACAACAAGAAGTAATTGTAAGTTGTGTTAACAAAGTGCAAAGGTTGACATTGGAAGGAAACACAGAAGGGTGGGAAAGAAGAATGATCTTGGAAGCAGGAAAGGAGATTACAGACTGGGGAGTTATTCTGGATAAGCTGAAAAAGAAAATTCAAATGGAAGGAGTTAAGATATTCCCATTTGATAGAAGACGGGCAACTCTGCTATGCGGTGATGAAAATTGCTGGAGTGAAGCCAGATGAAATTCCTTGTTCAATTGATGTCTTCATAGATGGAGCTTGGACGACGGTCTGGATTGTGTCTGAGCACGAAGCGTTGCTGTGGGGGGAAGGGCGAGAGGTTGGAGACGAAGGTGACGAGGTAGGGCGTGGACCACGTGGCAGACAAAGATCGGAAGAGAGACGCTAATGTGATAGGCATGGAAGATAAAGGGGAGAAGCCACGAAGGAAGTTTTGAACAATCTCCACTCATCGGGGAGGTTCCAAAGTTTAAATGATTTTGAGAAAGGGGACGTTGAGCTCGAGAAACAAAAGTAGGTGGATAGTTTAATGTCGGTTTTGTTATCTGACCCGATTAAGCTAGACTTTGAACCAGGAAAAGAGAGTGGTTCAGGTCACAGGGGCGAGTGGTCTGAACTAGGCAGGTTTCAGGGGTGTTTTAGCAACTTGCCGAATAATCCCAGTGAGTCTCCTCTTAAAAATGAAAAAGATGAATCTGAGAAACCTCCTCGTAACAACGAAAGATTAGGTGAGTGCTCCGATTTTTTAGGCTTACGAATTTTGGCTCCCTCCGATGAGATTGAACCAGATGCGAGGGAGGCGTCAGAAAGGAAATTCTGCATTGGAAGATCAGAATCCAAGGTCATGGAGTGGATTCAGCTAGGAGAAATTTTCATGAAAGAAGATGACAATGCGGGAGAAGATGACTTAAACATATTTGAAGAGCTGGATTTTGAAAAAAAAAAGAGGGTGGAAGGGAGAACAGTTTGGGGTTGAATGAACATGGAGGAGGGGGAGAGAGGGACAAAGTTCAAACAGGGCTTGAGATGGAAAATGGTGGCCTCCAGGTCTCTAGGGAAGAAGTAGAGACCATTGATGAAGAGGATGAGGAAAAGAAAAAGTCTTTGTCAAGAGTAGAGACCATTGATGAAGAGGATGAGGAAAAGAAAGTCTTTGTCAAGAGTCTACATAAGGAAACAAAAATGCAGAACCAGGCCTTTGCAAGAGAATGTAGGATCAGGTGGAAGAGGATGGAGCAACAGGTACAGAGGAGGAACAAGTAGTCATAGATGAGAATCATGAAGTTGAGAAATCTGTGGATCTGGGAAGGGTGCTGAACACAGGGGTGAGGGTCAGTAGATTGTTGGGTTTATTCTTCTTGGGGGGAGAGGATTTTGCAAAGGAAGCTTTTAGGGAGGTGAAAATACTAGAGTCCAGACGAAAGAGAAGATTAAGGGGGCGGCTGATTCTGATTTCTGTTTCAGGGACAACTAAGGAATTTGGAAGTTTAAAGATAGTTGGAGATGTAGAGGAGGGGAAGGGTAGAGAAGACCTGAGTGCAGATCAATTGTTTGAGAAGAATGCCATATTTGAGTTGGAAGAATTAATGCTCAAAGGGAGGGATCTACAAGGGGGGAGAAATGCCCTAATGCAGTAAGAAAATTTAGAAAATAGAAAACCAGTCAAAAGAGACAAGTTTCAAATGTTTTTGCCAGACTGAAGCTGGGAGTATATTGAGCAGGATTAAAAAAGAAAGGGAGAAAGATAAAGAAAGTTACCCAGATGAGACAACAGATTACTATATTAGACAGTGGACACGATGAGGAAATGGATAAAGTTTAAATCGAGCATTTCATCAGTTGGATTGTTTCAGGATGCTTTTTTTCATGTGTTTTCTGGCAGGATTTGGAGCTTCTGGGTTTCAGTCTCTTGTTTGTTTTAGGGGTTGGTGGTAAGGACCCCTGTGATTTTTGTTGTGATACTTGTAATTGTATATGGGTTTGTTTCTTAAGGTGCTTTGGTATGTCTGTAGGGTTAATTCTCTGTTTTTAGGGGCTTTTGTTATGGTGGGTCTGTTGTATTTTGGGTCTGTCCTTGCTGGGTGATTCCTTATCACCCTGCTGTATCTCCTTTTCCTTTTCTCTAATAAACTTCATTTTTTTATTTATCTTCAAAAATAATAATAGAATAAGGGGTAAGCGCATGAAGGGCCTCTTAATCTTTTGTAATTTTTTGAAAATTTATACAAATTATAAGTGTCCACTATAAAGGTGGAGCAAAACTGCAAAAGGATGGGTTTCAGAATCTGAAGAGAAAAAGATGGAAATACATAATAAATAATAGCATTAAGCCATTAAATGTGACATTTACTTTGAGGGCAAATTTGTAACCCAGACTTATGAGTAGAATCAGTTATTGTTACTAAAACATAGTGTGTATTTAATGTACCAATTAAGGGCAAAAATATTGGAGAAAATCAATAATTATATTAATAAATTGGATGGGAAAAATCATCCTTGAGAAGCCAGGACACAACTAGTTGCTTATTGTATAAGGTAATTAGCTATTTTGAATGAACAATTTTTTTTTCAGGTAAGCACCTTGTTCTAAGTGAATAAATAGTTATTTGTTATATATAGCCAAGAATTGTAACATAGAGATGAAGTAGATTTTCAAGAGGGAAAACCATCCCATAATTCTAGATTTTGTATTCTCAACAACTGCAAAAGCTGATTATCCACACCAGGACAAGCATTATACTACTACATGTACAATATAAATGAAATAATAAACTTACGTTAATAAATGGGAAAAAGGTGGTTATAAAAATGAGTTTAGGATGGACTTCAAGCAAAAAGAAATGACTCCATCTAAAGCTGTACCCTACATAGATAGAAAAGCTCCATGGCAATGAATATCTGCTATACATTTCTACCTAATTAACCCTCAAACCTAGCTAAGCAATCTCATTCTGATCTCTAGATATCCATCTTAACCATGATTTCAAGATCTTTAATACACACGCTTTTCACTCATGAAGGACAATCTTCAAGAGTCACAAACCCTTTTTCTTTTGACAAGTAAAAGAGAAAATTTATTAAAGTTTATCAAAACAATAAACAACTTATACAATGAGCTTCCCACACATAGGTGCAAGGTGCAGCCTAAAAAAGCCAAGTAAATTACAATTTAGCCCAGAAAAAGATGATCCCTATGCAATGCTTGCTTAGCTAGGTAGTCAGCTAACCCATTAACTGATCTCCTTTCCCACTGAGTCCTTATTGTCATGTTGGATGTCAGCCATTTAAACCTCTTCACAGCTTCCTTGTAGGTCTCCATGCAATAGAATCCACATTCCTTAGTCAACTAATCACCAACTTCGAGTCCCCCCCTCAATAAGTAATCTAACAACATTCATCTCTTTAGCTAATTATACCCCCTGCAAAACAGCTTGAGCCTCGGCTTTGATTGAGTCCCCCACACCCAACAGACTAGAAAACATAGCAACTATACTGCCATTTGCATCTCTGAAAACACCTCCAATTCTTGAAGGCCCTGGGTTCCCCAAGCTGCTACCATCAAAGTTGTGTTTAACGAAGTCTTCTTCAGGAGGTACCCAGTCTATCAAAAGCTTGACCTTTAACACTGATCTCCTCTCTACGGCTCCCCAATTTCTCCATAGATCAAAGGAAACTAGATAGAAGATATTTAGTGTTTTAGCTCATAGTATCACCCTGCTAACAATGTAGTCCCAAATAGCCTCCTCATTCCTTATCATTAAAGAATCCTGCATTTCTCTCTCCTCCCAAACTGTCCAAACCAATGCAACTCTAGCACATCTTTAAAGGATTCTACCCCATCTCTTAGGTGGTTAGGCCACTTGAAGAAGGTAGGGTAAAAAAGATTACTGATCTGCAGAGGCAAAGATCACTTGCACCCCAAAAAGATCACAACCTTTCCTACAGGCTTGCAACAACAGGGCACGAGAATAACATATGGTAACAACTTTCACTATTAACTTTGCACAAGATACACCAGCTCAAGGATAAACAAAGGTACAGTCTTTTTCTTTGTAGGTTGTCCAAAGTGTTTAACTTTCCATGAAAGGCTTCCCAGCAGAAAGCTCCAACCTTGGGAGGGATAGGCTTAGACCACACTTCTTTAGAGGGGAAAATAGGGGTAGATGAGTCCAGAGACAAGGAGGAGAAAAGAGGCCTTTAGTGTTTTCCACACCCGACTATCAGAGGAGGAAGGATCTGACAAGGAGTCAAGGACTTTTATTAGTAAAGCATCTTGATCAAACTCATGGCCCCTTAGACCTCTTCTCAAACCTAAGTCCCAACTGACCAATGTTCTGAAAATCATAATTGTATCATAAATCGTAAAGAGGTTTGAATCGAATCGTA